CGTACGGATTTCAAAATCGAGCTTCCCAAAAACATACAAAAACACAGGGTTCCCCAGCACGGAATTCCAAGAAAGCTTGCGCGCGTGCTGGTGTGGCACGGTCCGTGTCAAATAATACCATGCGGGCCAGCGCGTCAGCCGTGCGCGCGTTTCGAACTCCCTTCAAAACCTTCATCACCAACGCGAAGACACCGTCATCGTCGTTGGCGTGATCACCATCGGCGCCGTCACTGGCTGCCCCGTCGTCGCTGTCAGCATCCTCGCCAGTGTCGCTACTATCATCATCGTGTCTACCGATGTCGACGTTCCCATGGTACCGCGCCCGCACAATTCGCCGACTCGCACTAAAGTGTCCGTTGGGGTGCGCCGAGCGGTCAGCGCCACCGCGTTCGCATCGGTCGCGCCACACTAGCTGACTGCTGCGCGCGCAAGCATGCGCGGGCTAGCGCGGCCGCAAAAATGCACCAACCAACACCCTGTACTGATCGCAGTCGCTTCCGCATGGATTTTGCAAACCAAGTTGCGGGTGGGTGGGTGGATGGGATGATTGCGCGAGCAGTGGAGTTGACAATTCCAAGTTCGGCAAGTGAAAAAGAAGAATAGACTCTCCCCCCTCCGGAGTTAACGGTCCCCCCGGGGGTATTGTGATTTCGTATTTATTCTGCACGGTCGTCCATCTTTGATATGAATTCGTACTATCCCAGCCAGGCCAGTACCCTTCCCCCCGCCATCCCTGTCAAATCATATTATGCGGGGGCATGTTTTGTTCCAGCATAGCATTTTTTTACGCATGCCTGTCATATAATACCATGTGGGACGCATTCATTTTTGCGCCGCGCGCTTGTCGAAATCCTTACGAAAACATTTTTCAACACTTTAAGCACTACTCTGCACAAAAACACGCGAATTCCTTGAGAGGTCATCGTGACAAGCTGCAAACCAATCTCAGAATTCTACCAGCGCGCGCTGTCCGAGTTTTAATAAAACCAACTGGTTTTTCAACATTTATGTCAGACGCCTCTTGCGAGAAACTTTGTCGCGCGCGTCGAACTCCTTCATCAACTGTCGATCGCCAGTCAGGGGCCGCCATCCCTGTCAAAGGATACCATGCGGGGCTGCTTGCGCGTGGCCGTGCGCGTCGTCGTCGTCGTCGTCGTTGTCCCCACGGCACCGTTGCGGGCGTTTCGACGTTGACACTCGCTCAGGCATTGGCGTCGGCGTCGCCGTCGGCGAGGAGTATTCGCCAGCAAATTTTATTTGGCACGCGCAGTCACGGTCATAATAGTTTTGCTTCCCAAGTTGCGGGTGGGTGGGTGGGATGTGTGCAAGAACTTGGGTTTTGCACGAACTACGGAGTTGTCATTTCTTTCTTGTAGTTAGGTCTCCTTTCAAAAACGAGAGTAGACTCTACCCCCCCCGGCGTTATCCGCCCCCCGTTCGGGTAAGTAAATCATATATGATTATGACCACATGTCCATCCTAAATATGAATTTGCACTATCCCAGGGGGGCCTGTATCGGTTCCCCTGAGGTTCCCGTATAAGAAAAACGATACGCGGGGACATTTTTTGCTCTATCATAGCCTCTCTTTTTTTTTCTTCCCACGAATCCCTTGCAACACATGGGACGAAATGCGCACGCGCGCGTCGTCGCGCGCGCATGCCGAAATCCTCCAAGACCCTTCGGTGTCGGACGGATTGTGTAATCGAGTTTCCAGAACACATGCAAAACACAGGGTTTCGCAACGGTGATTTGCTAAAAAAACTTACGCGCGAACTCTTGTGAAATGTTGAGAAAACCATAGGTTTTTTTTTTTTTTTTTTTTTTTTTTTTTTTTTTTTTTTTTTTTTTTTTTTTTTTTTTTTTTTTTTTTTTTTTTTTCTCTAAATATTTTCACAACATGCTACCAAACGGGCTTCGCGCGCGCATGTCAAAGTCTGTCGAACGCCCTTGCGCGTGTGCGGTCGCGAGAACCAAAACATGGGACGAAGTGCAGACGCGCGCGTTGTCGCGCGCGTATGTCGAAATCCTTCAAAACCCATCGGTTTCGGAAGCATTTCAAAATCGTGTGTCCAAAAAACCTACAAAAACACAAGGTTTCGCAACACGGATTTTCAACAAAAGCGTGCGCGCGCGCTCTTGCGTCGTCGTCGTCGTCGTCGTCGTCGTCGCCGTCCTCCCTCCTTCCGCGTCGTCGTCGTCGTCGCCTACGTCATCCTCTGTCTTTCCTCGCGTACGTCGTCGTCGTCCTCTTTGGCGTCGTGGTCGTTTCCGTCGTCGTTGTCGCCGTGGTCGTCCTTCCTCCTCCTCCGTCGTCGTCGTCGTCGTCCGTCGTCGGCGTCTCGTCGTCGTCCCTCCTATTTCGTCGTCTTCCCTCCTCCCTCGTCGTTGTCGTCGTCGTCGTCGTCTTCCCTCCTCCCTCGTCGTTGTCGTCGTCGGCGTCGCCGTCCTTCCTCCTTCTTCGTCGTTCGCGTCGTCGCCGTCCTGCCTCCTCCCTCGTCGTTGTCGTCGTTGTCGTCGTTGTCCCCGTCGTCGTCCTCCCTCTTCCCTCGTCGTCGTTTTCGTCGGCGACGTCGTTGTCGTCTTCGTCGTCGTCGTCGTCGGCGTCGGCGTCGTCGTCGTCTTCGTCGTCGTCGACGTCGGCGTCGTCGTCGTCGCCGCCGTCGTCGTCGTCGTCGTCGTCGGCGTCGTTGTCGTCGTCGTCGTCGTCGTCGGTGTCGTCGTTGTCGTCGTCGTCGGCGTCGTCATCGTCGTCGTCGTCGTTGTCATCGTCGTCGTCGGCGTCGTCGTCGTCGGCGTCGTCGTCGTCGTCGTCGTCGTCGTCGTCGTCGTGGGTGTCGTCGTCGTCGTCGTTATCGGCGTCGTCGAAGTCGTTGAAGACGTCGTCGGTGTCGTCGTAGTCGTTGTCGGCGGCGTCGTCGCCGTCGTTGTCGCTGTCGTCGTCGGCGTCGCTGTCGTTGCCAAGTGCCATTTGATACCCACCGTCACGGTCATAACAGATTTTGCAAACCAAGTTGCGGGTGGGTGTGTGGGATGTTTGCTCGAGCAGTGGAGTGGACAACTCATTGCGAAAAGAAATTAACGCTCCTTTCTAAAAAGAGAATAGACTCTCCCCCCCCGGACTTATCCGTACCCCATTTGGGTATGTACATCAAATACGAATATGACTACATGTCCATCCTAAACATGAATTTGCATTATCACGGGGGGGCCGGGATCGGTTCCCCTCAGGGTCCATTGTAAAAAGCAATACGCGGGGACATCTTTTGTTCTAACACAAGGCTTTTTCACGAACCCCTTGCAAAAAATGGGACGAAGTGCGCACGCGCGCGTCGTCGCGCTCGCATGCCGAAATCCTTCAAAAACCTTCGGTGTCGGAAGGATTGCGCAATCGAGTTTCCAAGAACATACAAAAACACAGGGGTTCGCAACGGTGATTTACTAAAAAGCTTACGCGCGAGCTCTTGCGAAATCTTAAGAAAACCACCGGTTATTCAAGATTTTCACAAAATGCTACCAAACGGACTTCGCGCACGCGCACGTCGAAATCTGTCGAACGCCCTTGCGCGTGTGCCGTCGCGAGAACCCTTTGCAAAAAGTGGGACGAAGTGCAGACGCGCTCGTCGTCGCGCGCGTATGCCGAAATCCTTCAAAACCCATCGGTTTTGGAAGGATTTCAAAGTCGTGTGTCCCAAAAACATAGAAAAACACAAGGTTTCGCAACACGGATTTTCAACAAAAGCGTGCGCGCGCGCTCTTGTGTCGTCGTCGTCGTCATCGTCGTCGTCGTCGTCGTCGTCGTCGTCGTCGTCGTCGTCGTCGCCGTCCTCCCTCCTCCCGCGTCGTCGTCGTCGTCGTCGTCGTCGCCTACGTCGTCCTCTGTCTCTCCTCGTGTTCGTCGAGTCGTCGTCGTCCTCTTTGGCGTAGTGGTCGTTTCCGTCGTCGTTGTCGCCGTGGTCGTTCTTCCTCCTCCTCCCTCGTCGTCGTCGTCGTCGTCCGTCGTCGGCGTGCGCGCGCGCTCTTGCGTCATCGTCGTCGTCGTCGCCGTCCTCCCTCCTCCCTCGTCCTCGTCGTCGTCGTCGTCGTCGTCGTCGTCGTCGTCGTCGTCCTCTTTGGCGTCGTCGTCGTTTCCGTCTTCGTTGTCGCCGTGGTCGTCCTTCCTCCTCCATCGTCGTCGTCGTCGTCTGTCGTCGGCGTCTCGTCGTCGTCCCTCCCATTTCGTCGCCGTCGTCGTCGTCGTCGTCGTCGTCTTCCCTCCTCACTCGCCGTTTTCGTCGTCGGCGATGCCGTCCTCCCTCCTTCTTCGTCGTTCGCGTCGTCGCCGTCCTCCCTCCTCCCTCGTCGTTGTCGTCGTTGTCGCCGTCGTCGTCCTCCCTCCTCCCTCGTCGTCGTCGTCGCCGTCGTTGTCGCTGTCGTCGTCGTCGTCGTCGTCGTCGTCTTCGTCGGCGTCGTCATCGTCGTCGTCGTGGGCGGCGTCGGCGTTGTCGCTGTCGTCGTCGTCGTCGTCGGTGTCGTCGTCGTCGTCGTCGTCGTCGTCGTCGTCGTCGTCGTCGTCGTCGTCGTCGAAGTCTTCGGAGTCGTCGTCGGTGTCGTCGCAGTCGTCGTCGGCGTCGTCGTCGTCGTCGGCGTCGTCGTCGTCGTCGGTGTCGTTGCCAAGTGCCATTTGCCTACCGTCACCGTCGTAAGAGGTCTTGCGACCAAGTTGCGGGTGGGAGGGTGGGATGTTTGCACGAGCGGTGGAGAGGACAGCTTCAAGACAGTCAAAGTGGGTTGCACCGCATAGAATGTACGACATCGGTTGCGCAACATATACTGCCAGAAACAATGTTTCGGGTCCACGTTGGCTGACATGTCTTCGTGTATTCGACGAGGCATCAGTTCTGGTGTAAATAAATTCTGTAGTCGGTCCCCCGGTCTCCTAGTCGAAGGAGGTCTGGGGAGGCTTGGCGTCGGAAGTCCGGCGGCAGCGGCGGCGGCGCCTCGGCGACCGCCCGCTGCGAGGCCTTCCGGCAGCTCGGCGAGGCTGCCGCACCCGCCGCCGGCGCGCTGGCGCGCCACCTGTCCAACAGCAGGCGGCCCGCGGCTTCCCCTCGGGCGGTCGGGTCGCGGGAGATTGAGATGCCGAACTAGGGGCAGCCTTGGGTTTGGGAGGGGCTCCGATTTTCGGGCCGTTCCTCAGGTTCAGGTCATGGAACATGTTTGTGGCCTGGGCCCGCCGCGGCCAGAAAAGCTCCTTCGTTCCTTCTGATGCGTGTGTTAGCACGATTGCTGTATTTCATGGCGCCAGATTAGCAGAGCGGATCTCCATCGGAAAATAGCTCAGGAACGTGATGTGAATTTGATTCCAGATTTTGTTGCGAATCTCGGGTGGATTTTTGAATCGGGACATGAGACTGCAACACAAAACCACGTGAAAATCACTGCACCTTCCGCTTGCCATTTTGGGGTGTTGCAGGTGCAGAATTTCACGTGAATTTTCACAGTACCCACTCTGCAAGACCAGAACCGTGAGATTTGTTCACTCTCTGGCGCGTAACGGTCGTTATCCGGGCCAAGGACCCCCCGCTGGGGCAACGGTAGCGATCGTGCGTGTTCTGACATCCTCGCGTCGCAGTCTTATAGAACCGGGCGTTTTCGCATGATTTCGGGCCTCGGAGGAGGACAAGAAAAAGGATGACGATGATGAGGAGGATGAGCAGGAGGGGGAGGAGGAGGAGGAGGAGGAGGAGGAGGAGGAGGAGGAGGAGGAAGAGAAGGATGATGATGATGATGATGATGATGATGATGATGATGATGATGATGATGAGGAGGAGGAGGAGGAGGAGGAGGAGGAGGAGGAGGAGGAAAAACAGGAGGTGGAAGAGGAGGAGGAGGAAGAGGCGGAGGAGGACGCCAAGGAAGAGGAGGAGGGTCAGGAATAGTACTAATAACAGTAGTAATAGTATTACCCAAAAGACCCATATTCAGAATAATAGTAATATTAATACAAGATTGATAATAAGACAGGTAAGAACATAGGAATATTCAAACGAGAAATAATGCGACTAAGACTATCAATTACAACAAGCATACTACTAATAATACTAATGCTAGTAGCATTTATAAAGCTAATACTTACAAGAGTAGCTAAACTATTATTATGATCGATAATACTAATAGTACTGCGACTAATCATATCACCAGCACGCATGCAATTATTATTATCATCATTATTAGTATGTTTTTTTTTTATATTTTTTCTACTACGCATACGGATGCTAATACGAATACTAATACTAATACGAATACCAATACTAATACTAATACTAATACTAATACTAATACTAATACTAATACTAATACTAATACTAATATTAATCTCACTAATACTAATACTAATACTAATACTAATACTAATACTAATACTAATACGAATACTAATACTAATACTAATACTAATACTAATACTAATACTAATACTAATACTAATACTAATACTAATACTAATACTAATACTAATACTAATACTAATACTAATACTAATACTAATACTAATACTAATACTAATACTAATACTAATACTAATACTAATACTAATACTAATACTAATACTAATACTAACAAGTGGCACGTGTGTGCCCAGGCTCATACAACAAGCTGAAGGGGCGTTTGAAGCAGGAGTGACATGCAACAGCGAAGTCGCACTCGAGCGCAAGTGGGGTTGCCACACCTTGCGATGTGTGTACCAGGGCCCCCCAGGAAGCCTCAGGAGGCCCGACTTGGATACCAGAAGAGGCTCCAGGAGGCCCCAGGATTGTGAGTGTGTGTGTGTGTGTGTGATGTGTGCTTTGTGTGGTGCGTGCTTTTTGTGTGTTGTCGTGTGTGTGTGTGTGTATGTTATGTTTGTCTAGCGTGTGATGTGTTGGGCGTGATTTGTGTCTCTGTGTGTGCATGTAGTTCTGAAGCCCCAGGAGGCCCCAGGAGGCCCCAGGCGGCCTCAGCAGGCCCAGGAGAACTCCAGGAGGCTCCGAGGCGGGGTCTGGGGTACCAGAAGGTCCAGAAAGCCCCAGGAGGCCCCAGGAGGTTCCAGGAGGCCCCCAGGAGGCTCCGAGGAGGGGTCTGGGGCTCGATTTTGGGAGGATGTCTCAGGCGAAACCGCCATTCTCTGAGAATCGGGGTCAAAATTATTGAAATTACCATGTGTTTTTGAAGGTTTTATGTTAAACTGTTGAAATTCCAATGTGTTTTTGGACCCTGACGTCACGATCTGCGTGAGGGGTGCCACCGATTTTCAGAATTTCGAGGATGTCCCGAGCGAAACGGCCAGAAACATCGCGGACGACGTGCGCATTAGTCGCCTCTGAGCTCTACTCCCTCGGAGAGGTGCGTATGAGAATACTAATATTTATTCTAATACTAATACTAATGCTACTATTAATTCTAATATTAATACTAATACCAATACTACTACTACTATTATTACTACTACTACTACTATTACTACTACTACTACTACTACTACTACTCCTACTACTACCAATACTACTAATACTAACACTAACACTAATACTAAAACTAATACTCGTACTAATACTTATACTAGTACTAATACTAATACTAACACTAATACTAATTCTAATACTAATGCTAATACTAATACGAATACGAATACGAATGCGAATACTAAACAATACTAATACTCATACTAATACTGATACTAATACGAATACTACTACTACTACTACTACTACTACTAATACTAATACTAATACTAATACTAATACTAATACTGATACTAATACTACTACTACTACTACTACTACTACTACTACTACTAATACTAATACTAATACTAATACTAATACTAATACTAATATTAGTACTAATACTAATACTAATATTACTACTACTACTACTACTAATAATAATAATAATAGGAATAGTAATACTAATACGAATACTAATGCTAATGCTAATGCTAATACTACTACGAATATTAATAGTAGTAGTAGTACTACTACTACTACTGCTGCTGCTGCTGCTGCTGCTACTACTATTCATAATAATATTGCTAATACTAATAACACAACTAATGTTACCAATATGTAGAATAGGAATAATAATACCTTTCTAATAATAGTACGACTGATATTATTAGTATTGTTAATATTAATATTACTCGTATGAATAACGAGAACATGAGGTAGAGGAGGGGGATTATGATGATGCTGATGATGATGATGATGATGATGATGATGATGATGATGATGATGAGGAGGAGGAGGAGGAGGAGGAGGAGGAGGAGGAGGAGGAGGTGGAGGAGAAGGAGGAGGAGGAGCAGGAGGAGAAAGAGGAGGAAGAACATGAGGTGGGTGCGGGGACAGGCCCCATGCTGCCACCCTGCTTGGGCCTGGTTCCAGGCCCCAGGGAAAAGGCCGCGATGGTGGGGGGGGCCTCCAACCTCAGGTTATGAGCCTTTCGTTGCAAGCGCCGGCATCCTCCCCTTAGCTTTCGCCCGCGCGCGATCGATCGGATGGCGGACTTCGCATCTCTTCGGATCCCCGACGGCGATGACGACGTTTTGGCTGACGAAACTCCTGATCGACCGTCGGCTGATGTTCCGTCCGCTGCAGTCCCGAAAACACCCTTCACACGTGGGTCGTCACCACAGGCGCCAGCACATGCAGCAAGGCCAGCAGCACCTGCGCCTCTCTGGGCTGTCAGTCGTGGCGAGGCGCCTCGCCCGACTGAGCGCCAGGAGGGGCCCCCAGGGTTACCTACACCACCACAGCCAATTCCAACAACCGCAGCACCGAAAGCCCCACCTGACGTGAACGCTTTCCTCATGTGCGAGCTCGGGGAGGGCCTGTTAGAGGTCGCGCGTGAGCTGGCTGCCATGCAGTCCGGCGGCGGCAGGGGCGGGTGCAGTTCCAGGCAGCCGTTGCACGCCCTGCCGAGAGGTCCCCGGGCCCTTCCGTCGGTCAAGTCGTGGCGCGCGTGGGTAATGACCAAGCTTGCCAGCTGGTGCGGCCTCCAGAGTGCAGGCTTTGCTGATGCGGCTCAGCTGGTCTTCAGCGACCCAGACCTGGACGCGTCACTGGTGCACAACAACCCGGCCTACACCAAAGCCAACAAGACGTTGGCCTTCGAGCTCTGCGGGCTCGCGGACGAGGAGCTATACTTTTTTTTCGCAGAAGACCGCGCCGATGGTATACCAATTCTGGCGGCTCTTGCCGGAGCCGTCTTGAAATCCAGTGCAATGTACGTGTCCGCCCTGAACGACAAGTTCACTCACCCAGAGCTGGTCGCCGAACAAATCAAACTGCAGCGCGCGCTTCGGGTGTGGAGAATTAATTGACTACGACGAGCTGCGGGCCGTAGGCTCCGCACCCTCCCAACAAACAGCTCTGCGTCCACTGTGGAGGCTGATCGGCAAGCTCAAACCACTCCAAGTGACATTGGAAATTGTACCGTATACGCACCCGAACGATGTCCACGCCATCTACGAGATGGCTGAGCGAAAGGCGGGCGAGTGGGCACTCCTGCACGACGCGCCGACCACCGACGCCCAGCCACCGCCGACTAGCGTCTTAGCTGGCGCTGCTGCAACAGGTAAGGGGGGCAAGGGCAAGGACGGAAAGAAAGGCAAAGGAAAGGACGCGTGGATCCCATGGGCGACAAATGCCGCGCTTTTTCCACCGCAACAAAGGTCTCGCGCGCATCCCTGGCACGTCGAGCGGCTCCTGGGGCCAACAAACACAGCGGCTGCCGCAAGACAGCTGCAGACTGTACTTCCAACCGGGGCACTAGGCAAACGAATGCCCGAACAAAGGCAAGGGCAAAAAGGAAGACAAAGGCAAAGGATCGGCAACGCCAATCCCAGCTGGATAGGAACCAGCAGCTCGGGCGGCGCACCCGGGACGCCCGTGCCGCCGCCGAGTTTCAACGAAAGGAAAAGGGGCCATATCGGAGCCAGCAAGTTCGCACCTGTTACAGAACAGAGTTGGATCGGAGATTACCAGGGAGGTCAATTTTCGGGCGGCGGATCGGTACCGCCCGCCCCACCGACAACCGCAGTCACAGTGGCTGGATT